TAAGAAGGTTAGAAAACATAAGTCATAACATCATGGTGAATGTAAGCTAAATCAACATTAAAACTTTGAACATATGTGAGATACTTCTTTAAGAAACCTTAGTTCATTAAACATCTTGTTGTGGAAAACTTACCATTAACCGGCATATAGACTATGTGAGCTATAACATTATCCCCCAGTATCTCCCACACCAAAAAGGGTTGTTCTACTTGCCTAAGGTAGAACCATGAACTTCTAGCTTAAGTGGATCCACTAGCTAATCATCCTATGAGGGCACATAGTTTATGGATAAGGAGACTGTTACTAGAAACCCAACCTCTACTAGCAGGAGAGATTCCATCTCATGAGACTTCTACTAGAAACCCGGTCTCTACTAACGGGAGAACTTCCATCTCAATGTCAATATCCACTCGGTGCTAAGCGTAATTCCCACGTAATAGTATTTTATTACTTATTCTCATTATCCATGGAAAGACATGTCATCTTGTCAATCCAAGCTAGTTTATTAGGATAGCTCTTTGATGAGTAGGGCTATATTTTAATAGAAATTATGTCCTCGAATGCTTATTTTATCTCAATATCTGATAAAAACCTTTAAGTTTCAGGTATTTCAAGTTTTGGGTGGTAGCATGGACACTTAGGCACAAAAAGGAAGAAGAAGGAACAAAAAATCATGGACAGTTAATCGGTGATTCCGACTAACCTCGCCGAACAATCCGCCAACACTAATTTCTGAAGTGTATAAATACTAAACTCTTTATTAATTTTTAGGTAGTCGAACATTTATTTTAATTTTTACAATAGAATAGTACTTTTTTGGATATTTTCTCTCAAGTTTGGAGAGGATTTTTTGGGAGACTTGAAGAAAGAAGGATTTCATCTTCCCCAAGTTGGAAGTGGGTCTTCTCCATTCTTCTTCCTTTGCTTAAATCAATGTTTAATTCCTTATACCCATTTGATTTTAGTATCATTTTAGGTGTATTTTCATATTTATTTATGTGTGGCTTAAAACCCCCATTCTTGGGGTGCGATTTAGCAAATATGTGTTGATATTGTTGTTAGGTCTTGCTTGCTGATAGGTTAGATGTATTTTAATGATGATTTCACCTAGTGGTTGTGGTTTAATTTAATGGGTTTGTAGTTACAAATACAAAACCACCCATGTGTTTTCGGCTTGCCCGAGAGGGAGATCGCGAAACCAAGACCGCTAGACCGATGGCCTAAGGAGTGGGTCGACATGAGGTTCTGCCCGAGAGGGTGATCCCTAGTCCCATATCCTAACACTCAGCTCGAGAGAGTGAGTGGGTTAAGGCATATGCTGGCCTTCATGCAACAAATGGTTGTCCTAGAGGAACACATTTGAAACGGGGTAAGTTGCCCGAGAGGGAATTTATTTCCATCTAATGCTTAGCCTAGTCACAATTATCTTTAAAATTTCCTATCGAAAGCGTGTACCCAACGATTTATCTCAACTTGTATTGCGGTCACACCCCAAGAACTTGTCCCCATACTTGATTTTCTTGTCATTTTTGTTGTTTTTACTACTTGTGACAAAACCCCCAATTGATATTTGACACTTTGTGTGTCACCCCATTTAATTTACTATGTTTTTACTCGTTAATGTCTATAGCTACGACTAGTTAGAACTAAATTTTATTTTTCTAGTAATTCTCAAAACCACTCCCTTGGGACATGACCCCAATCTTTAGTTGGGTTACTATATTATCGATGATCGTAGATACTCGTACCGTAGGTTAGTGTCGTTGCTCACGATAAGCATCAAAATGGCGCCTCTGCCGGGGAGTGGTGCTATTTGAGATTTTTTAGATTAATAGAATTCTTGTTCTTCTTAGTTGTAGTCTACTTACCTAATTCTTAGTTTTGTCTAGCTTGTTTTTGTGTGGAGACAGAATAATGAGTATATATGATTTGGAAGGTGGACCAATGGAGCTCCTCCTAGTAGAAGTGATGAGATTCAGGGATCACATCTTGAATATCAAGCATCTAGAAGGAGAACCTTTTCATGAGTCATAACTGAGGTTTAAAACACTATTGATACAATGCCCAACTTATGAAATCCCCAATTTAGTTCTACTGGAATGCTTTTATAGGAATCTAAATCCCGGAAGCGGAGGGTTAATCGACCTACTTATGCCAGGTGGCTGTGAGATATACTCCTATGAGACCGCAACGAAATTCCTTGATCTTGTGGTTAAAACCAACAAGGATACTGAGAAGGACTAACAATTGATCATATTACTGGGTCAGATAGATAGCTTGACCCAAAGGGTCGAGGAACTGGAGGTGGTGTCAAAAGAGAAGAGCTAATGCAGACCACCTATTGAGCAGGGAAGATCTGTGGACATCAAAAATAAAAGTATCGAAGATATGTTATTAACCATACTCCAAAAGCTAAATGAGCAAGATAGAGTGTTAGAAAAGATTAGTGAAAATGTAGAAGTGCTAAATCAGATGAGCAGTTCTCACTCTAGATCTATCCAGCTAATTGAAACTCTCTTGGGTCATGTAATGCCTATTCTCCACCAGGCACAAGGTAGGGGCTTGCCGGATGATGTCTTGGCTACCCCCAAAAGTAAAGTTTAGGTGCTAACCCGCGTCGTGCCACGACGTTAACTAAGGCGCAGTTTGGGAGGCTACCCAAAACCCTTAACTGCTTTAATTTTGTCATTTTTGAAATAAAGGTGTTTTTGGTTTGTATGATTGGACATGAAAAGCTTGTGAAAAATACATAATGAATCACACGAGTCCAATTGGTGAATCGCTAACTAGATCAGCAACTGCGACAAAGGCCACCGTTTGGATCCTCACTTTGACGGATGGTCCTGTAAAACTCGGCGAAGTAGATAAACACTCGGCGGATTGCTGAGTATTAGAGCGAATTCAACTAATGTCGCCGAATGGATAAGATCTGGACTGATTTTATAAAATCACGGGTCTGGATTTCAACTTTTTCATATTCTCTCACTCTCGATTTTCACAAAATCACACCTACTTAGTATATTTATAAATTTTCGCACCTCATAAGTATTTTAGTTGCTTTAGTAGTGCTTGTATTTGTAATAACCTGCTACCTAGCATCACAGTCTTGACTTCTGCCTAAAAAGTTGGTTCTCCAAACCCTGCATTTAATTATGATATTTATGCTCTCATTTCAAGTAATTTTATCCTATGTCATGTGATGTGACTCTTTGATAAATTTAGGCTATTCAATGTGCTGAGGCGAGCTCGCACAAGGGACTCCATATCGCCTTTAAAGTTATACTACTTATAGTTAGTGTTCTGTAACTTTTAGCCAGAAGTTTTGATCGCCAAAAGCAGTCGGCGACTCGCCGAAGGTCTCCTTAGTCGCCCTTTGTCTGCATCCCCAAACCTTTGTGCACTGCATCCTTCGGTGGATGAAGTCCTGCTTGCCATAGTAACTTTGCGACTCACCGATCTATTTAGCGAGTTTGTCTGTAATTGCATCCCTCTAAACTTGATTTAGTTGTTTTAACTTCTTTCGAATTCTTTGCAGAAATGGTTAGATCTAAAGTTGCCGGAAGAAGCAAGCTACCTCAAAGTAAAACAAAAGGGATTACAATCAACTAGGATGCAAACGTGTTCAAAAGCAAAGTTACTAAACTTTCCACAGCTGGCAAAAAAGGGAAGGGCAAACACAAGACCCTTGAATTATCAGATGCAAGCACTAACAATAATGGCTTTTATTGAAATAACTCCAATCAATCTAAAAGTGAAGGTGTGGGTTCTGATGAGAAAGATCTTCTAATAGCACAGAGGGACGAACGGCGAATTAAGAAGCTGAATGATTCATCTAGGGCCAGGATTTACCAGCCTACCACTACTACACCTCCAGTTCCAGAGTAGACAATGGTATTAGCACCTCCAGTGCAAGGTCCTCCATGTAAATCTATGAATCGAGTAAAGGCTGAGGGGCTAAGAATTTTTTTGGAGGAAAAGCGTCTGTCCATAGAAGGGGTTATAGACAGCCACCTAGAGATAATGGAGTGTCTGAGATACCACAAATTCCAAATCTTCACCAAACCCCGTGGCCCTTATATTCAAAACTGGGTAAGAGAGTTCTACAGTGCATACAATGCACTAATACCCCAACAAAAGTAACTAGCAGCAGCCTTCAAAGAAGTTGACTATGTGGTTGTCAGAGATAGAAGGGTGAAGTGTGATAGTGAGGAAATCAACACAGTCTTGGGCATGTCCAAAAACATTAGGAATCAATGCCAGTATTAGATTAGAACAGAACAGCTGGATGAGATGAGAAAGTGGTTAGCCCCACTAATTGCAGATGAGACTCCAAAGTGGTTGGCGGAAGGAGTTCCGATTGAAAATAAAGAACTAAACATAGCCGCAAGGTTCTGGTTCGGTTTTATTAGCAGCGCAATTATGCCATCCCAGAATGAGTCAATCCTTCCCCTCTCCAAGGCAGCTTGTCTAGGTTGCGTCATAGAGGAGACTCAGATAAACTTATGTACAATCATCGCTTCAGAGATACTCGTGCGTACAAGGCAGATTCGAACCTCACTTCTATTCCCAGTCCTGATCATAGAAATATGTAAACGAGCTCGAGTGCCTCGAGATACCAAGAAGGATGTGGAAGTGATACCCACAACCTCTACTGATATCTGGAGGATCAAAAATGAGTACCTTAAGGATCAAGCAGAAAGGAAGAAGGCAAGATCGATGGAGTTAGTCAACACAAAATCATCGCCTGCAAAGGCATCTCTGCCTACTCCAGCCCCTGGGCCTTCAGGTATATCCATTGCCACTGTTACTCCCGCTGATACTCCAGGTTCTTCTGCTACTGCATGGTCGCCAACACCCATTATTGTTGCTACTGTTTCCCGGCTTCCACTCACCCAGGCTTCCCTACTCCGGATGGGATAGCTGGCCTTTCTGTTGATCGGCGAGCTGCTATTCTAGAGGCCTCTATTCCAGGCATGATCTAGAGTGCCCTAAGTGATGCTATGACACCTCTGAGCACTACCATTGATGCCTTAGTGGCCAAGATAGCGGTGTGTGAGCACCACCAAGGGTCCACAGAGGAGGTGACGGCTCTAAAAGCTGCCATTGCTGAACTAAGAAAAGATGTAGACCACCTAAAGGCCACCGATGTGTCCATGGTCTTTGGAACAGTGGAGATGCCAGACATTCCTGAAATGCCTCAGAAAATCGATGGACATGGGGGTAGAGCGAAGCAGATAGCCGACCATGAGTCAGAAACAAAGACTGATGTGGAGATGCATGAAGATACTGAGGGAGCTGCAAATGAAGCCTTACTGATATGGAAGAAATTATGATAGATGCTACTGTGCAAGCTTCTTTGGCAAAGTCTCCTGCTGCTGGATCTCTCTTTACCTCCCTCTCTGTCTTTTGTTATCTTTAACTTTATTTGAATTTGAGGATAATTTTTTTTATTTGTGGTGGGGTGAGGCCCACCTTTGTGTGCTACTACTATTATATGTGTTTTGTGTATATATTTGGGTTGTTCTATTTTAAATTGTGTTAACACTGCCTTTCTGTGGATGTTTGAGCTTGAGGCTCCACTTATTTTTAATTGCAAAATGATTGTGACCGTTTTGAAATTTTTTGAATTTTTTGCACATTTCTGCAACTTCTCATGTGTTGAATGTGGCTGTTCTTTTGCAAAAAATTGAGTCTCAGTTTCGATCAATATCGATGACTTAAATAGTGCTTACAATCAAACAAACATGAATGTACGGATATGATGAAGACAAATGAAATTGCATAGACAATATGTGAACCCTTTGCATCTCTTTGTGATTAGCCATTTATCAAATTGATTCTCTTGTCATGACGGTTGCACACTAGCGAAAGTGTGTGGTCTTTGTTGAGTCAAGTGTTGATGCCTTGTGTGATGAGCTTACTTGGAACCTTGCATGAATAAACCTAGAATTTACCCTGTTAGTCTGATTGATTTAGTAAGGTGTGCTCTTGAAATGATCTTAGACAACTTTTGAAGAGTGTGAGCCAAATTTGACATATACCTCTTTTGTGGCCTACCCGTGAGCGTGTGAAACCCTCTTGAACACCCTTTGAGCCTTACCTTTCTTTGGAAGAACTATGATGCACCCTAGACCTTACTTGTCCCACTACCTATAATCCTCTTGATTTGTGGTTTAGCAAATAGTCAACTTAGGCCAAAAGCAATAGTTGGGGGTGTGGTGAAAAGGAAAAGGAGAAATCAAGAAGTGCAAGAAAAGTCCCCCTTAACCCTTGGTGTTGAAGAACAATGGAAGCCCTTCAAAGAAAAATAAACTGTGGAATAAAGTACAAAAGAAATCGGGTTTCCAAGCAATCCATGGAGATGAATAAAAAGATGACTTAGAAGCACTAGAAAAAGAATTGATAAAGAAAAAGAAGGGAATGCCTTGAGAACAACACATCTCACGAGGATGAAAAGTCACTGAGCCTAAATGACCATACCTTTGCACTCAGCCCCATTACAAGCCTTAGAAAGACCTTTTTGATCTTGAGCGAGCTGAACCGAAGATCAATTGGAAAATAAGTGCAAGCCTATGGGTGAACACATGCATTGTATTCCTCTTTTTGAGTGTGAGCGTTGCATCTGATTCATGATATTGAATTGATTAATCTCTGTGTGTGAATATGGAATCATTCTTTATGTGAGGGCATTTAGATACTGTTTCTTGAGCTTGAACTTGCACAAGTAGCAAGTATTGCGAGCATGAGAATCTTTGGTAATGGTTTGTCATAACTTGAATCTTTGAGTACACAATTGATTCCTGCATAAGTAAATTGAGTCTTGTGTAGCACTGTTTGAGACATCCTATTTGAACTGCTGAACTTGAGTTTTACTTTAGGACAAGCAAAAGTATAAGTTGGGGGTGTTGACGAGTACACAAATTGGACTCATTTAGGCCAATATTTTATTAGAAATTGTGTCCTCGAATGCTTATTTTATCTCAATATATGATAAAAACCTTTAAGTTTCAGGTATTTCAAGTTTTAGGTGGAAGCATGGACACTTAGGCGCAAAAAGGAACAAATAGGATAAAAAGAACGAAGAAGCTGAAACCTGAGAATTGCCAAGCATGCTTGGCGATTCGCTGAAGGGACACACTCCGCCCTTTGTTCCAGTACGCGAAGCCTTGAAGGAGCAGGACAAAAAAGGCGATGAAAAGAGTAGTCGGCGTGTCACCGAATAGTTTCGCGAAGCAGTACTATGTCGCCCAACGACACAGAGCACGATGATGCTAAAGGCAAGTGCAAGACGACAACGAATTACACCAAAGGGCAAATCACTGAGTTAATCGGCGATTCCGACTAACCTCGCCGAACAATCCACCAACACTAATTTCTAACATCTATAAATACTAATCTCTTTATTATTTTTTAAGGAGTCGAACATTTATTTTAATTTTCACAATAGAATAGTACTTTTTTGGATATTTTCTCTCAAGTTTGGAGAGGGCTTTTTGGGAGACTTGAAGAAAGAAGGATTTCATCTTCCCCAAGTTGGAAGTGGGTCTTCTCCATTCTTCTTTGTTTGCTTAAATCAAGGTTTAATTCCTTATACCCATTTGATTTTAGTATCATTTTAGGTGCATTTTGTTATTTCTTGATGTGTGGCTAAAAACCCATTCTTGGGGTGTGATTTAGCAAATATGTGTTGATATTGTTGTTGGGTCTTGCTTACTGATAGGTTAGATGTATTTTAATGGTGATTTCACCTAGTGGTTGTGGTTTAATTTAATGTGTTTGTAGTTGCAAATACAAAACCACCCATGTGTTTTCGGCTTTCCCGAGAGGGAGGTCGCCAAACCAAGACCGCTAGACTGATGACCTAAGGAATGGGTCGACATGAGGTTCAGCCCGAGAAGGTGAGACCTAGTCCCATATCCTAACACTCAGCTTGAGAGAGTGAGTGGAGTAAGGCGTAGGCTGGCCTTTATGCGGCAAATGGGTGTCCGAGAGGAACACATTTGAAACTGGGTAATTTGCCCGAGAGGGAATTTATTTCCATCTAATGCTTAGCCTAGTCACAATTATCTTAAAAATTTCCTATCGAAAGCGTGTACCCAACGATTTATCTCAACTTGTATTGCGGTCACACCCCAAAGAACGTGTCCTCATACTTGATTTTCTTGTTATTTTTGTTGTTTTTACTACTTGTGACTAAACCCCCAATTGATATTTGACACTTTGTGTGTCACCCCCTTTAATTTACTATGATTTTACTCGTTAATGTCTTTAGCTTCGACTAGTTAGAACTTAATTTTATTTTTCTATTAATTATCAAAACTACTCCCTTGGGACACGACCCTAACCTTTAGTTGGGTTACTATATTATCGACGATCGTAGACACTTGTACCTTAGGGCATCACTCTTATTCATTGATTCAATTAGGTGAGAATAGCCTTTCAACCTAAGAATCCTTTCTATGTGAGAATACTTTTCACATCATGCTAGTATGTTTTTATGAGAATATCCTTTCACAACACAACATAAAACATCATCATTTGGATCTTTACTCTCAAAGCACTCTTAATATTTTCACAGGTACCATAAGATCATGCATAAACTCGTACTTGGCCCTTTCAAGGTTCAAAGATTTCTTTCAATCACCACATCTAGAATTCAAGCATTAGATAGGGATTTTTATCATAAATTCATGTAATTATATTACTTCATACTTTAGATCATAAAACACCTCTTTCATAATCAACAACCCATATCATATGATCACAATTTGGAAAACATGGGGGTTTGCATGGGTTCATAGGGGAAACATCAGAGAAGAATTGTAAATCATCAATTAATACATATTTAAACATAATTGAATCATTAAGTTCAATAATCAAAAGAACCCATGGTGTTTGAAGAAAACCCTAGCTAATTGGGAAATTCTACCATTTGAAATAGAGGAATTTGGGGACTCCATGAATGAAAGAGATTTATGGATGAAAACTACCATACCTTGAATCCAAATGCTAGCCTTCAATGGAGAAATTGAACCCTTATCTTGAAACCTTAAGGTGAAATCTTCTTCTCTTTCTTCAACTTTTCTAGAGAGAGTATTTGGGAGGAGATTTGATTTCTTTTTGGGAATTTGGAAGAATAAATTAATTGTGGTGAATTTGGGGGTAAAAGGTCTTATATAGGGGTTCTAAATGTAGGCAAAATGACATTGTATAGGAATTTATTAATTAGGAAAAGACCCAACTAGCCCTAAAACTTAACTTCCATCCCTGACCCACGACTCACCACCGACGGACCGTGGGTGGACCTACAGTCCGTCTTGAACATCCGTGGTTGGGTGGTCTGACTTGATTTTTGGGGGCTTCGAACCATGGCCCAGGGACCACTGACCGTGGACCCACCTACGGTTCGTAGGTCCAGTCGTGGTCCTAGGCTTTGGCATTTTTTGGGTGACCAACCCATGAACCCCACCTACAGACCGTCTGTGGTCCTCCCGGGTGGCACCGGTAGGTCCTGAATTTTTTGTCCATTACCCTTTTTTTTGGATACGGGGTGTTACAATATCTCCCTCTTGGAAACATTCATCCTCGAATGAGATTCAAACTGGTTCTGAAAGAGTAGGAGAGGAACTAACAACCCAACCTAACAACGCAATGCATGTAACAAAGGAGGAACTATTGACTCCAAGCTAGAATGTTCCCAAAATATCACATAGAGGTGAATATAACTCTAACAGCCTATCAAATGCACAAAACCAAAAAGAAAACAGCAACTCCAAATTCATCATACTCAAATGCATAAAAAGGAAGTAAGAACTACATCTAACAACCCAATATGCATGAAAATTTTAGATTTCTCTTATTCAAGAAGGAACTACCTTCTCCAAGCTAAAAACATGCTCATCACAATCTCGTGGAGCCTTTATGCAATTCGTTCTCAAAAAGCATATCTAATGCATGTTCATCATTTCATCTCATGAATTCTATAGGCAACTCATACTCAATGCACAACAACATGAGAAAAATAAATCATATAAGTCATTTCTTTCAACTTAAATTTTTTCATGAACATGCATAATCAGAAAGAAATCATGGAAACACATAAATCACACATGACTCCCAACACATAAAACAAACCAAGGGGAACTCATTATATCAATCTAGAGTAGGAGTAGAGGAAAGAGATGAGGATATCGGGACATCATATCGGCCTCGGCCTCCCAAGTAGTACCCTCAACTAAATGATTCCTCCATCACACCTTTACAGAAGCAACTTCCTTGTTTCTCAACTTTTTGACTTGCCGGTCTAAAATCTCAACCAGAACCTCTTCATAAG